GAAGGATAATCACTTCCTTGTTCAAGTCTAAATCAATAGCGGTTCTCGCAAATAATGTAATTTTTCTGGTGTCTTTTCCCCAATCCTCTAAATAAATAGAAGTATAAAGAACGATGTGAATCGGAATTCTGATAATTCATCTTGTTAGTACTTACCCGCTAACATTTTTGTCCTCTTGTAACGACTTGATTCAGCAGATAGTGAGAGTGGCCGTTGCCCTGCCGAAACGAGAAAAAACAATAAAGGTTAGCGTCACGTTCGTGTTGACCAATCATTATGACGCAAAGGCTTACCTTGATGTTCATCTAAATTGGGTTAGGGGGACCAAAAAGGCAGTTAGTTACTTGATAAGACATGTTACGCGTTATGACCAATCGATATGGCGCAAAAGCTTACCGGTGTTAACTGATAATCCAACTATAATTCGAATATTGCTTCCTGCGTCATCAGTAAAAACATTTCCAACCTTTTCTGCTTCATTTTCTATTCTATCGTCCAAACTTTCATCAAGAGATATATTTCTATTATTTTCGAGATTCGTTCTCCAAAGCACAAGACTTATAGCTTTTACGTTAGGAATTTTTTCTGCAATAATTTCTTTAAGATCGTAAATATCATTGTCTACTCCTGCGGTAGCTTTGAAAATAGATTTATTGTTTCTAGTAATGCACCAAAGTGTTTTACGCGTACCGATAATTTCAACAGTAGACATTTTGAAATTAGTTAGATAAAAATAAGAAAAAAAAGAGAGACAGAAAGAACAGAATAAAAATTATTTAATTTACCCAGAAAAATAAATAAAATCTCCGGGTCACTGGATTCGGGACCACGTGTATGGCGCAGCCCGATCCCTATGGATTCGTTTCAATAAAATTTCCAATTAAAAAAATCCAATTTAAAAAAAAAAATTAAATTAAAAAAAATATTATCTCTCTCTCTCTTTCTTACAATTAAATTCAATTAATTTAATTTAAAAGCAATTATTAAAAAAGAATTTAAATAAAAATGCCATTTTTTAAAAAATTAATTGAAAAAAATTTGCCAATTAAAAATTTTTGCGATTAAAATATATAATAGAAAAATTTATGTAGGTACATGAAAATTTACTGCGATGAATTTATATGTCCAAGAATGTGTTACTCTTATTTTTCTTACAAATGCAAATATACTAAGCTTTTTACAAGTAAACATATTTTTTTTTTAGATCATTAAGCGATTAATTACGTAATTTATGAAAAATTAATATTTACGATCATATGATTTGTACCACTGTAATATTCGGGAGAATATCTTCCGTTGATCTAATTTCGTCATTTTCGTCATGATAATTCCTTTTATATCCTTATGACATAATCAATTTTAACAAATTTATCCGAATTTTTTTTTATTTTTTTTTTTAAAAAAAAAAATGGATTCAAATAGCCATGAAAATGAAACACAAATCGATAAATTAAATGTCTCAGAAAAGAATTATTCTTATTGCGATAAACCATTTGCCGAATGGGTGCCCTTTGATAGATTCACAGATATAAAAGAAATTGGAGAAGGAGGATTTGCCAAAGTGTATTCCGCAACATGGATCGATGGCAATTCGGAATTTAAAAAG